GAGACCATTCCCTGGGGGGAGGAGGTTTGAGGAGGAGAGGGTGCTGCACGTCTTACAGGGTAGTCCTCTGTCATCGCCTCAGGTGTCCACCTCAGGTATTACTGGCTACAATAAACTTCTAAGCGCAGTCGCCTCCCTGGCTCCTCATTCGGACCTTTCTCACAGTCACTGTCACAGCACCGAGGGGAGCAGAGGGCTGTAGGTCTACCCTCAAGAAGTACACAGCACAGAGACTGGTGAGTGGATATTTGAGCTGTGCTGGAAAAGACACAGAAACTGGCTGGGCGTGGTAGCACACCTTTAATCCCAGCCCTAGTGAGGCAGAGACAGGCAGATCTATGTGAGTTCAAAGCCAGCCTGGTCTACCTAGTGAGTTCCAGGCCAGCTGGAGCAACAGGGAGACCCTGTTCAAAAAAACCAAAAAAAAAAAAAAAAAGGCTTCAATGAAAGAAGGAAGCACACCAGTGATGGATGAAGACCCTCCTTGGTCTTCAGAGTACTTCTGTGGGCTTCTGAGCCTCATCTACTCCCCACCTCTTCCACACCATTAGTTCTCAAACGTTGGCCTGCATCAGAATCATTGGGGGCTGTGTATGCAGACTGGTTGGTCCTATCCCCAAGCTTCTGACTTAACAGGGCTGAGGCAAGGCATAGACTTGCCTTTTTAATATTTCCCATGTAATTAGGACTACCAATCTATACACAGTGTGAATATCCTCTACCTACATGATGTGGCTGGTTCACAGGCAATACAGAGGATCACAGATCTACATGTAGGATGAGCATCCTTTATCTACGCGATGCAATGGTCCATGAGCCACATAGAGGACCACTGATTTATATACAGGGTGAGCATCCTCTGTCCACAGGATGCAGCTGGCCTTATGAATGTTAGGTGAGCACTCTATCCACTGAGCCACATCCCCCAGCCCTTCAACCTGTACTTGATTCCCACTGACCATTTCTAGGACATGACCACCTGCATTTCCCATGCCTGGCCACTCCTAGTGCCCAGGCCAAGAAGCCATCTCTTCTGGCAACCCTTGCTGTTGTGACCAAAGGGCATAGGGAAACCTCACAGAATGGCAGAATATTCTAGTACTGTGTTCCCATCTCACAGGTGATGAAACTCTGAGATGGGAAGTAATAGGACAGCTAGCCAGGTTGGAAGCGCGTGCTTTCATCCTCCTCGAAGGGCAGTGGGCCCTACCTCAGGCTTGGCCAGTATGGCACGCCCCCTGTGACACACATGCAAATGTCACGGCAGTGCATGCCAAGAACTCGGCACAGGCCTAGAGCCCTGCCTCCGCTCTGTTATTTTCTACTTATCTCAAATTGGCAATAACGGAGAATAATTGCTGGGTATGCATGCTGGAGGGGGCCTGGCCTCCTCCCTCTCTCTCTCTCTTATCTGGGGTTCCCCCTCTGCAGTCAGTGGTGGTGTGGGCAACAGCAGCAGGAACATAATCAATGCAGAAAACGGGGAACAGAGGTGTGGGGGCTATGGAATGCCACCCTGAACCTACCCTTATTCTGGAGGAATTATGGGGATCACAGGTATCTGCCTGGCCCTGCATATGGAGCTATCTGGAATGTGGCCTGTTCTCACAGTCATCCATATCAGCTGAGGGGGACAGAGGCAGCCGAAGGCACAGAGGCAGCCAGATCACCTAGGGCTCGACTCAGAAGGCAGTCACAGCCACTTCTAACATGCAAACACTCAAACACACACATGCTGCCCCTCAGGCCCAGATGCCTGGCCGGGCTGCCAGAGTTGCAAGAACACACCTAGCGAGTGCTTGCCAGGCCTGGCCATGAGCTGCAGTTTGGGCTATAGCTAGAGGAATGCTCTTCTGGCCCTGCCCTCTTCCCCCTGCCAGCCACGAACCTTCCTTGAGGCTCCAGCCAAAGAGCACATCTGCAGGGAACCCTAGGAGCCACACCAGACAAACATTCCAGATGTCTGGTACGTTGGTGCCCATGGTCAAGCTTTTATCCCTGCAGCAACATGGCCAGCCCCCTGCCTGCTATTCATGCCACACACCCACAACCCTCTAGGCTCTGGCACACCAAAGGCTCTTTAAATATCTGCTGAATCAGTGAATGGAGGGGCAAACAGGAAAACTGGCCCTGGAGCTTAACCCATGACCAGGAGGCCCTGTACGACACAGATGGGACTGAGCCACTGAGCAAGAACTGTTCAGGGGGGCAAGCAGTCTCCAGAAAAGCCTGGGAGGGGCACATAGGGAAGAGACTCACCTGAAGGTGTAAATGCCTGCCCTGGGCTATAGAGATGGACAGTCCCTGATATGGTGCTTAGGTGGTCCTAAGATCTCATAGGTCACCCAGGCTACTTCCTACCCCACCAAAGATTAAAGCTGGAACACCCTCAGTGATAGAGCACTCACCACCTTTCCAGGCAGCCTCATCAACTATATGTTTCCACAGAGTTCTTCCTGAATCTGTGACATCTGTTTACCCCTAGGGCCAGAGGGAAGAAGGCCTAAGCATCTCCCTCCCCACATGCCTTCACTGCAGGGAGCTGACTCTCACCTTGCACCAGATGAACAGTCTTGCTGAACACCGGACTCTGAATCCCCCATGCTCACCCACGGTGCCCTCTGAGACCGAACAACTCTCCCACATCACGTTCTCCCAGGGTGCCCTATGGCTTGTTCACCCATTTTGGTAAAGAGCAGAAATCAGAGAACAAACTCACACTGGCTACCCTTGGACCAGACAGACACCGCAGCTATGGACCTGCCATTTGTTCCTGGTGACTTCTGTCCCGTTGGTCTCTGTCTACCATCCCATGCTATCTGGATCTTTCCAGAACCAAATCTGGTCACACAGCTCATGTGTGCCTACCAGCTTTGGGCAAAGGGTAAACTTGGGTTTGACATTGTGCCCCTCTCCCCAGGTTTTGGACAGAAGTGTAAGTGGCCAGGCCGAGGATGAAGAACCACACAGGCCAGCACCACTGGCTGACACATGCAGGGTTCACCAAGCTGTCAGTACACCCGCTTCTCCAATTTCATACATGAAGATACTGTGAAATACAAACACACTGTGCCCTAGCACAGCTAGAACAGAAGAAATAAATTGCTTTTTTCCCCCTCCTTTGTCCTTTTGAGTCAACGTTTCCCTATAGCCCCAGCTGGGCTGGAACTCACTCTGTAGGCCAGACTGACCTGGAATTCACAGAGATCCA